TGCATTTTGGTTAGTCTAGAAAGTGCAAATCTACCCTGCCTTCTTCTTGATTTTAGACTAACACAGTTAAGTTCATTTCTGTAGTCTTTGCAATATCATATATATATTTTAAAGCCAAGAGATAGGGAGTCTGTCATCTCATTCCATGAGGCAATATGACTGAGCTAAGAGCAAAGGGAAACAATCTTTTTTGAGAAGTACACTTGGAAACAGAGGACCAAGTCTTGCATACCTTAGTCACAATTGCTATTTTTATATTACAAGATTTACTAGCACCATTGCCAGGTTTGTTTTCTTGATCCCAAAAGATGATCAGATTAGATGAGAAAAAAGAATTTAGGGAAATCATCATATCGCTAAATCCCTCCTGATCATCTCCCGAATCATCTTAACTGAAATTCCATCACTAGTGTGTTGATCTCTGTGCTACATTATTTCTACCTTTTCCTTTCTTTTTATTTTTTGTTTTCTATCTAATCAACTTAACTAACCAAAACAAAAATAAACTTACAATACTCTGGTGTGAGTAGATTAGCCAATAAAATTATACCTAAAATATCCAAATCCAGGAAAAAAATTGACAGGTCCTGGAATGTATAAGAAAATAACAAATAGGATCTGATTCAAAGTCCAAAGGGATTCTTTTCTGTACCCTGAATCCACCTTTTATTACACCTACATATTGCTTCTTCCTTAGGCAGGTATGCATCTGTCATGTCCAACCAAAGCACTACTTTTGTTTCTATGTATGAATCTACCGCCAGTACATAGGACCCATCCATGGAACTATATTTCCAGCTGAAGTGATTCAGGCTAAGTACAGACATTCAAAAAGCTCCTTGCAGAAGCACTATATCTCTTTTTACTTAAAGTACTATAAATTAGAGTGGGAATAAACCAAACAAACATTCCCCATTCAGTGGGGAGGCTCGGCTCAGTGTCTGCCTGCACTGGCCAAGAGCAGCAGGCAAGGGCACTCCTGCACTGCTCCCAGGAGGCTGCCAGAGCCAGCCCTGCCCCCCACCAGCTTGCTCAGGTCTTGCAGGGACCAAACCAGGTGTATGCAGCAGAGGGGACTCTATTTCCACACACACACCCCTAGGCTCTTGACAGCTTCAGCCAGGAGTCGCAGCATGGGGTTTCCTGGCTGGCTTTTAACTGTATGAGGAACTGGGGCTGGGGGCATGGAGTGATCCCCCTGAGACCCCAGCCAGTAAGCTCTGGGGTGTGGGGGAGGTCATGGCAGGGAGGGCTGTCTTCCTCCCGGCCCCAGTTCCTGGCTCAGCAAAAAGTTAGGCAGGGCAGGCGGGGGTGGGGGGGGTGCAGGGAAGGGAGCCCTCACCCTCCCTGCTTCACAGGCCTGTCCAGCCTCCCTGAGATCTTAGACAGAAAGCTGAGGGGGAGGGCCCTCACAGTGAGGGGGCTCCCTTCCCCTTCAGCCTCTTGACAGCTGCAGCCAGAAGCTGCAGCAAGGACTTGCCTGGTCAGCTTATTGCCATGCCAGGAACTGGGGCCATAACAGGATCCAGTTCCTGGGTCTCTGGCCCAGCCCCACCAAGACTCCCATGGCAGAGGGATCCCCATGGCAGAGAAGCTCCATTCTCCCACCATCCCCACCTGCCTGTGCATAAAGGAGATAGCCTTTCCTGTCTTCTCTCTGTGACAGCCCAGGGGCGGAGCTGAGCTGGTGCTCACCCAGAGCAGACAAGCACCAGCTGAAAGCTAGCAAACCACTCAGTGAGAGACCCCTGGGTTGGTGGCAGAATGTGACCTACATTGAAATTCAGTGGCTGTGGTACAGATGTTCAAAAAAAAAGAGGTCTAACCTAAAGCACTTGAGTTTAATACCATATCCATCAAGGATTAATTTAGAGCAGGATCCACCATTTTTACAGTGCTTTAAGTGCCATGAATGTCTGTTCTGTTATGGCTTCAAAACACTTTGTGCATGCTTAATGTATTTTAAATGTAATGTGTGTACCTCACCAGAGTCAACAAATCTAAGAGGAACCTGTAGGCAATCTGGAATCAACAGGGACTCTATATGTTGTATAGTTATGATGTATTTTTCTATCCACTACTCAACTGAAAAAAATCAATCTGAGCATTATCACTTTATTAGGGGATTAGGGCTCTGACTGGAATATTAGGGTACTAGGGATGAACTGCTTAAAGATGCACTGAGTTTGAAGAAGCTAAACTTTTATGATGGTGAAAAAATATGAGGTAAGCAATGATGAAACTGATCCAAAGCTCATCAAAGTCAATGTGATCCATTCCATTGATTTCAGTAGGCTTGGGTTCTGGAAAAATAATTGTAACTTTTTTTCTTTTAAAGTAGGAATGGTATGAGCATAGAATTTTTAAATGAGGATTTAATTTTGTAATATAAAATAATATCTTTTAAATGGTGCCCCATGGTATAGTGCTTATCTTTACAGTTGAGGTAGTAAGAGAGACCTCTAGTTTCTTATTGCATTTGGATTGGTTCTAAAGTCAGGACAGTTTAACAGCATCCTTTGAGCTCCAGAGACTAAATATTAAAGACAGATGTCCAGTGTTGTCTTGCTTCTTGTGCGGGTGTTCTCTATCTAAGTGCTCTGTCCCATATGACACATCAAGCAAATATATATATGTTATTTACAGCTAGGAAAATTACTGTACGCACATGATATCCCCTATTGCCCCTATTCCTTATTGTCATGGGGCCACTTTCTAGGGAAACTTTCATCATGTTTTCATGGATATCACGTGTAGACTGTAGGAAAGATTGAACTTCTTTCAGAGTAAATGTAGCAATGCAATTAATAGCTTTCAAGGGAGCCCTAGAAGGCTAACTTCATACAAGTTTGTTTTCAATAGAAACTTTTTTTGAGATATGTATTTCTTTAAGAGTATGGATGCTGGTTATCTGATTATATTGGGTGCTGCCTCAGTTGTGTCATGGTTATACCTGTGCTTATAAGAATGTTGCCATTTTAATCTACCACACAATAAAAATGCTAATTTATTACGAGATGTTGAAAGTATGATGCCTTTTGTATTACAAGTTTGGGCATGTAGACATATTCCCAGTAAGCTCTTTCATTTTCAAGAGCGAATATTTTATCAAACTTAAGATCTTTACCAAACTCCACTGAAATATTGCTTCTGTTGTTTAAACTGGTTCCCAATATTGCTTTTTTTCAATGCATGATTTTAGACTTAAAGAAGGAATTAGATTTTTTTTTTAAATAGATTTCAGCTGAAGTAAATCAGTGTCATCAAAGGATCTACAATAATACGAACTAGCTGAGGATTCAGTCATAACCATTTGAGCTTACATTGTGCTGCGGGGATAGGCCAGAGCATGAGAAGCAGTATAAAAATGCACACTCCTCCCCACTTCAAAACCCCTGAGGTAAAATTCCTTTCTTGATTACTCCTTAGCTTGATGAAAGGCATGGGCAGATTCAGGATCACAGCAAGGGGGTGGGGCCAAATGCCCTAAAGGACCTCTCTGAGCTCACCTGCATATTAGCACATCTCCTGCAAGAGCTCTGCATGTGATGTGACCTTTCTGAGCTTAGCAGCTGATCAGCACAGGCTCCTGCCTTCACAGCACTAGCTTTCACAGGGCTCGGAAACCTACGGGTGAGTGACAGCACCATTTACCCTGCCTTTCTCCCACCCCTCACCTCCCCCAAGCAAATTTGGCAGTAGAGAAAAAGGGGAAGAGTAGCGGTAGCATAGCTTACCCTCTGGGCTCTGGAACACTATCAAAACAGGGGCTCTGGCCAGAGCCTATGCTGATCAACTGGTGAGATCAGAGCTCATAGCACATGTGGTGCTCTGGCAGGAATCATGGTGCTATGCTAGCCAGTGTGGGGAAAGCGGGGCGTGGTTGGCCATGCTGCTGCATCCCCACCTTGATCTGCCCCTGAAGAAAGGTATCTAGTAAGTTGCTGCTGGCCCATACCAGCACAGCACTGTGAGGGACAGGACCAAGGTCCCATCCGCTTCCAGCTTCTTTTCACCCACTGCCCTCACAAATCCTGTCATGTGAAGTTTAGGAATGGCACAGCACCCACTTACTGCTCTCTACCAGGGTCCACGATCGAGGTAACCCACTGAGAAGTGAAGGAGATTTGTACTTGCTATCATTACCCTGTATGAACACATAGTCCAAGTCACAATCTGTGCCACCAATATATTCAAAGAAAAAAAGTTTGGAAATGGATTGTGTCTGTTTTAAGGAAAATCACTTTGTGCCAAAAAGCTTACTTAAAATCTCTCCCAACCATGCAGTTGGTTTAATAAAATACATCACCCCCTAAAAAAATCCTTGCCTCTCATTAGTTCTGTTGGCCATTTGTCATAAAGTGTTATTGTGGATATTTTTCTTGTTTTTAATACTCTTTTGTTCTTCAAGGGATACAAAGTGAGTAAAATATTAAAATAATAAAGAGAGAGCCCAACCCTGAACCCAGTAGGCCAGGTTCTGCTACTTTTACTGGCTGTGTCTACATGTGTGCTTTACTGCGGAGTAGACTAATTAGCAGTGGAGTAAAGCATCACTGTCTACATGTGTAACTGTATTAGGCCACAGTAAATTAATTAACTCTGCCAGGGACAGTACTATTTTATGACAGAGTAATTTACTGTTATTAAATGTAGATGCTCACTATGGGCATCAATTGTGTCCAGTCAGCCCAGCTAGCAGGGGATCAGACTCCTGCCTGCTGCCTAGACACATGGCTCCACATTTCAGCACGCTTGTGCCCTAGCCAGCTCCTCCACTGGCCATTGCTGCCACCCATAGTCCACGGCTGACCTCCCATGTCTCCTACCAGCCCAGGCCTGCCCCCAGGACACCACTGCCACCAGCTGCAACCCTGCGCCATCACCAGCCACCCAGGCGTGATTCCCTGAGCCTGCTGCTGACAACCACTACTCACTGCCACCTGCCGGAGCCTCCTCAAATCTGCTGCCACCCACCAAGCCTGCTCCCAGCCACTGCTATGCCAGGCCCTGCACCCGCTGACACTCAGGTACGGGGGCCCAACTGGACACATGCAGAGACCTCTAACCTCATTGCCATCTGGGGGGACATTGAGGCCCAGCAGCAGTTTGCCCATTCTACCAGGGCCAATGCCCATGTGTTCAAGGAGATGGCCCGCCGGATGCAAGAGTGCGGTCACCAGCGGACTAGCCAGCAGTGCCGGGTGAAAGCCAAGGCCCTGAGGGCACAATATATCCGCTTCTGGGACAATAATAAGCAGTCAAGGGCCACCCCCAGGACCATGCCCTTTCTCCATGAGCTTGAGAAGATCCTGGCCCCCACAGACCCTGGTGAGCCCCACCAGGTGTTTAGCAGTTGTGGTCTAGAGAAGCCCATGACTCAGGAGGACTCTCTGGGAGAGGGCACCTCGGGGCTTTCACACCAGGTCCCGGTGCACTCCTTGCTCTCAGATTCACCCACCAGTTCAGGCAGCCCAGGCCACCATCTACCCTGGCTATTCTGGAGGTGGCCCAGTGAGGATGACAGGGGAGGGATGTCCCCTGCAGATGCTAGCTCCAGTTCATCACAGGAGGGAGCTACTACCCGGCTGGCCATCTGCCATGCCTCACTACCCTGGGAAGCATCAGCCTTCCAGACCTCATCTCTGTGGCCAGGAACAACGTCCAACCATGGGAAGCATCTTCCATACCCACCCGGTAAGCCCTGCACAGGGAGGAGGGCTGGGGGTGTGGTGGGGGCACTGTAACCACCCATGCCTGCACCAGATCACCTGCCTGCCCCCGGGCTGTGAGTCTGGAGCCAGGGACCCCACATGGGTCTCCCCTCCACTGCTGCATGGCTGAGCTCCCAGCCCTGTCCATTGGATTTTCCCCCCCACATCATGCAGGGAGGCAGGAGGCAGTTGATAGCTTTATTGAGAACCCAGAAGGCTCCCAGGAGGCTCCCAGCTAGTCAGCCAGGGGCCTGTCACATGTGCAGAAACCCACTGATGGCAGCAGCATTCTCCTCTTTGGCTGCAGGGGTCAGGCATCTGTAGTCTGGGCAGAGATACTCCCTAGGTGACAGCAGACATTGAGAGGAAGTGAAGGCTTGTCTGGGGTGCCCTCAAAACTCAGGATCCTGTGCCAGGTTCTCAGTGGCTCCTAGGGAAACATCACAATCATCAACAACAAAGCAGAGTGGGTTGGGCATCCCTTAGAGCACTCAGCTCATCATGGTGTGCCTGGGTGATTCTGATGAGGGGCATGCTTCAGGTGATGCCCATGCATGGTGGAGGCCCTGGCTTGGGATGCCTCTCCAGATCCATGTCCCAGTTGGGTGGGAGCCCCCGACCCTCAGGACCTGGGCACTGCAGGCCTGGTGGCACAGAAGTGAAGTGCCTGGCTGTATGGAGGAGAAAGGAAGCACTTGCTCCAGAGCTACCATGGCAACTGCCAGGAGGGGCCAGGCATGGCCCAGCCTAAGTAGGGTACAGGAAAGGCCTGCCTGCCCCTGCTGTGAAAGTGAGGAGGGAAGACTCACCCAGCAGCTGCCCATGGAAAGGGCTGCCTGGGCAACTTACCATGGTCCCTGGATGCTTGTGCATGCATGACCCCTGAACTGAGGGCGGGTAGTACACAGCACACCTGTACAGTGTATGTTATCTCTGAAATATTGTAAACTCTCAAAATGAGCCTCTTTTCCCTTCCTCTGCAGACCCAGCTGCTGGACATGGGGGAGAACCACCTGGGAATCACAGAAATGGGACCCCAAAGACACCTGAAGCCACTGCAAGTGCACACAACATGCGCCGGCTCCGTCAGTGCAAGAGCCAGGATTGGACAGATCTCCTCAACCGGCTGGTCACTGTGTCTGAGGAGCAGCTTGAGGAGAGTCGGACCTGGCACCGCTGCTGGCTGCACGAGTTCCATGAGATGTGTCAGGCTATGGAGCAATCAGACTGCGAAGACCGTGAGGCATGGCGGGTGGAAAGCGAGGTACTCCATGCCCTCCTTCAGAGGCTGGTGGAGGCCCAGGAGGACCAGCGTGATGTGGTGTAATAGTTTCATAGTTTCATAGTTGGTAGGGTCAGAAGGGACCTAAGTAGATCATCAATTCTGACCCCCTGCCATGGGCAGGAAAGAATGCTGGGGTCAAATGACCCCAGCTAGGTGATTATCTAGTCTCCTTTTGAAGACCCCCAGGGTAGGATTGAGCACCACTTCCCTTGGAAGTTGATTCCTGATCGTAGCCACCCTGACTGTGAAGTAATGAGGACAATTGGCACGTCACTGACTCTGTGCTGTCCACGGCAGTGTTTGGCACTACTCCTGGCATCCTAGCAGCTGGCCATGGGCCTGCCTCAGAACCTCCAGTGGTCATGACTGCAGATGCAGCATCGCCTCAGCCCCTGCACCAGATCCTGGCCTCCCGGTACTTGGCCACCCTGCTTTGCCCACCATCCTCTGTTCACCCCAGCTGCATGCAGCCCCTGAGCAGGAGGTGGCTGTGGCAGGGCCAGCTCCCCATGCAGGACCTCCTTGCATGGGCCCTGTGGAGGAGGAGAGGAAGTGGGTTGGAAAGCACCCACCCTCACCCTTAGCCCCTTGGGCTCATGGTGGCACCCAGACCTGAGTAGCTGACAGCCAAGGCTAGGGTGCCAAGCACCTCCCTCTAGGCTCTGTGCCCTGGGTGCTTCCTCCCCACTGTTCCTCCCCTGACACTTGTAAATCAGTCACTCAGTCAGTCTCAAGCCCGCACCAAGCATTAGGGAATGTTTGATATAGCAATAACTTTCCTCCATTCTTCCTGGTCTTTTGCAATCCTTGTACAATCAGTCAGTTTTAATCCCATCCAGTTTTGATGTTGGTGGTCCAGCTTATCCTAGGTCTTCCTCCTCTTTTTCCTCCATCCACAGCACCCTGCAGGATGGTGTTGGCAAAGATGCCGGGCCTTCTTGTTACATGTCCAAACCATTGCATCTCGCTTCTTCTTATGATTTCAAGTAAGGGTTCATATTTGCTGACTTCTTGTCTGATTTGATCTTTCACAGATTCATTTGTTCATTTGTGCAGTGTAGGTTATGTGTAGAAGTCTTTTGAATCACTTCATTGCAAAGGTCTCAATTCACTTTTCCAGTGCTCTGGTGGGTGTCCATACCTCACAGCCATAAAGAGTTGTTGAAATGACAACAGCATATAGTAGATGGAGTTTCGTTTTCATTGTGATGTTGCTGCTAGTCCATATTTTCTTCAGCTTTGCTAGTTGTCCAGTGCTGATGGCTATTCTTGTTTTTACTTTTTTTCTGATGTAGCATCTTCTGTGATGGTTGCTCCAAGTTATTTAAAGTGTGTTACTGTTTCTAGTTTCTCATTAGCAATTTTTTTGGAGGCATCATCATTACTACAGGCTGATGTTATCTTTAGTTTGCTCTTCTGCACACTAATTTTCATTCCATATCTCTTAGTAGCCTTAGGGAGCCTTTTTTGTTATTTCCTTAAGGTCTTTTGCAGTTCCAGCTATTAGATCAATATCATCAGCAAAATTTATCATCCTCCAACTGACACTGCCAGTGAAATTCTCTAAGGCATCTGACTTGGTTTGTTCCAGGTATAAATTAAATAAGCGTCATGAGAAAAGACAACCTTGGCATTCTCCTACTGATGTTGAAAACCTGTCCATAATGTTGTTCTCCACTACTTGTATTGTTATAGAGTTCATCTATACGACTTATCAGTGTGGAACTGATGTTATGGTTCTTTATTGTCAGCCAAAGTGCTTTTTGCCACGCCCTGTCAAAAGATTTTCTAAAGCCTATGAAATTATGATGGAGTTCTTTTTGGTGGTAATGGTACTTTTCACATATGATTCTATGGTTGACGATCTGTTCTATGGTGCTTCTTCCAGATCTGAATCCAGCTTGTTCTCCTGCTAATACATTTTCTATTTGTGGCATGAGCCTGTTTAATATTATTCTAAGAAGCACCTTACTTAGACGACTAATGAGGCTAATGGTGCAGTATTTGGTACATTGGTGTAGATTCCCTTTCTTTGGGATAGGGATTATTATTGATTTTGTCCACTGCAGTGGCTGGGTTTTCCTTTTCCATATCTTATTGCACTTGTAAATAGACATCTGTAAGTAGCTTAATGGGGAAGAGGGTGCTTTGTTGGCGGATTGCATTGGAGTTGTGGGGGAGGCTGTTGTTGAGAGGAAAGGAGAGAGCCTGTTGTTGTGGGGGTGGGGAGGGGAGTGGGGGTCCTGCTGGTGTTTTGGGGATGGAAATAAAGTTTGGGGTTTGTTGAAAACTGTCCACAGTTTACGTGTTCTTGCTGTTGCACTGTTGGTCTGGGGTGTGTGGGCAACTGTGCAGGCACCCTACTGCAGAGGATGGTGAAGGAGTTGGTCTGTGAGCACCTTGTGGATACAGTGCCCTGGCTGCCACTGCTAGGTGCAGTCTGAGGAGTGTCCATGGTATGCTGGGCACAGGCTTTTGGGACAGCATCCTAGGGCTCTGACAGCAAGCTGCAGACTTCTTGAGGCCAGAGAAGCATGTGGCTGGGGAACAAAACATGGGGCACCCTTTTAAAGAGCGAGGATGGTGCCCAGGTGGCTGTGGCCAGCTCTGGTTGACTGTGGGCATCTCTGGCTGGTGGTGGCTGGCTGCAGGCAGAGACTGGAGCTACAGTGGGACAGAGCAAGGCAAGAGCATCCCTGGCATAAACAGCTCTGATCCAGCTCAAATTGCTGTTGTCCTGGACCATTGTGTAGATGCTGCACCCGGAAGTAGTTTAATCCAACTCAAAATTCTCCGGAGTTTATTGCTTCACATTAATTGTATGTGTGATAATACAGAGGTCTCTGATGAAATCCCAGCCTATAAAATACAAAGAGGAGCCACAAATTCCAATTGTTAGGGAAGATTTATTCATCACTATGCTATTCCCATCAAGCTTATCTTCTTGAATCCCAGAACTATACTACACCAACCATGTACTTTTCATTTTTTTTTCAAATAAAACATCTCTCTGTATCACTTTACAGATTTTGTAAAGTGAAAGTCTTGATACATAGCCCACTGAAGTCCTTGGAAAGACTTCCATGGACTTCAGTAGCCTGTAGACCAGTCCCAAAGTGCATGTCTCAGGATAGAACATTGACTGTTCTGGGATGTGTCCCAGCATAGCTGATCTACTTAATTAGATTGCCCATTGTCCTACCTGCTGATTCTACAGGACAATGGGTGCCATGTTACAATGTTTATTCGTTATCCCTGTAGTGTGACACAGGTCAAGGCTGGGGGTGAATTTTAGCTTGATAGCACAGTGTTTCCCATCCAGTGTGCCGTGACACAAAAATGCCATCAGAAATGAATAAATGTGCCACAGAATTTTGCAATGGCAATGAGCAACAATGAGCTATAATAGGTATGAGGATGGGGAATGCCTTAACAGGTGTGCTGCAGAAAAATTTTATTAATGTAAGTGTGCCTTGGGCTGGAAAAGGTTGGGAAACGCTGTGATAGCAGTTAGCTTATACTTATGGTTTAAGTTTAAACCAGAGCACTGGAAGTGGCTTTGAGGGGAGGAGTGGAGGCCACAGGATCAGGAAGGAATTTTACCCTTTGGTCAGACTGGTATGGACTGTGGGGGTTTTGCCTTCCTTTTTAGCAGGGGAGCATTGCCTGCTACCTGGGACCCCTTGAGCATATATTGAATCAACAAGGGTGTTAGGTCTATATTGTCTCAAGGTTGAGGGTAGTCTTATGTAGAATTTAGATCATGATTGTATAGGATGGTTGGAATAGATTGTATAGGATGGTTGGGATAAATTAAGATTGCATAGAATGGTTGGGATGATCCTGTCTCAGGCAGGGGGTTGGCCTAAATGACCTCTAGAGATCCTTTCCAGCCCTATTTCTCTCTGACTCTGTGACAAGACTGTAAACTGAAGCTCCAAGCCTACAGCTAAAATAGACTGAGTAAGCAGGACCAGATGCCAAGAGGGCAGAGGCTAAGACCAGAGGGCTGAAGGGCCTAGAGCCTGAACAGGTGAGACCAGGGCTGGAACCCAGCAGCCAAGGTATGGGGCAATGGATCTGGGCTGAGGGGCCCAGCCAGAAAAAGAGAGCCAAGGCTGGAAGGCCAAAGTGTGGATAGAGGTTTAAAACTTGAGGGGCCAAGTGCTGTGTTGGGGGTCAAGAGCTCCCTCCAAATCTATACCAAGTGACACTTGTCAGGCATGGGGTGTGGCTATAGGGTAGGACAGAAGTCATGATTCTAGCCCTTAAGGTAATAAGGGCAGTGGGGCTGGAGCCCCAGTGATGGATAGACTGTGTGGCCAAGGTAGGAAGAACATCCTGAGCTTGCTGGTTTCTGAGGGCAGCCCCCACACTTTAACATCAAGGTGTGGCAGGAGAGACAGGAGAGTAGAACCCAGAGAGGCCAGAGTAGGGCAGGATCAAGACAACCACTAATGGGCAACACAGTCACTCTCACAGCCTGTCCTGCTACAGTAGTCTAATAAACATCAGATCCTCAAAAGAATATTCCCATATTCCAGTGAAACAAGGACACTGCAACAGAAGACTGCAGTAAAAGATTGCAATGAAATTAAAAGTTGAATTATTCATGTTGTCCTGGTTCTGTTCAGGTGCAAAGGAAGGAAGGGGTGAAAACCCCCTGCTCTGCCCCCTCTCCTCATAAGTTTGTTTCTGCTCCCTGACATAGCCCAGGCAGAAATTAGAAATGGTAGGGCTGGCTCTGGTTTACAGTAGTTGAAGACAGGTGTACGGGGGTTCTGCTGCACCACACCTGTCCCTATAATGATGATGATGAACAGACTGGGCCAATTAATGCAATCATAAATTTGATCCTGGAAAAGGATCTTCACCTTTTTGCCTCAAACTTCTAGTTCCACAGCAACAAAACGAGAAGTCAGGTTTGGCCCTCAGATTTCAACTATCCTACCCAATGTTTTCCATAGACAAGTCAATCCGGGGAAAAGCAGATTCAGGTTTTCAAACCACACACACTAACTATTCCACCAAATATTTCAGCA